ACTAATAAATAAAACATTAAAACGAATATTTTTTTTAAAATGAATAAAAAAAAAGATAGATAAAAAATTTTTTAATTTATAAAGTCCTAAATTAAAATGCAATTAGGTTATTATATAGTTATTAGTATTCGAGAAAACTTTGATTTTTTGTTAAACCAATTAGAGAATCTTTAACTATTTACAATATTGACTTCTTGTTTTTTTAAAAAGCTCACTATTAAGTTATGATACTATTGGCTTATAATCAACTATTTTTAGAGCTGATATTTTATTAGTAGACTTATAGTCAAGCCAATATTAGCTTTTAAGGTTTTAGCCAAGCTATTTTTGAAGCTAATATCTTATTAGTAAATCTATAGCCAAGCTGATAATTGCTATTTAGCTTGTGGCTTGGCTTAGCTATTCATATTACTATTCACATCCTTAACCTTAAATATCTTGAAATTTATCAAGCCAATTTTAATTACTTAGAAGCCCTACAGACTCTAACTTAATAAAAACTTCTTTAATTTTAAAAAAATTGATTTTTTATATTAAATTCTTATATTTATATTTTTAACTCTAAGTATCTTAAAATTTACAAGGCTGATTTTGATAATCTAACTACTATTAGAACCAGAAAAACCTTTTTTACAACTTTATTTAAAAGCCTAATAAACCCTAATTTAATAAAAACTTCTTTAATTTTAAAATTTATATTTTTATATTAAATGCTAAAAATAGTAAATTTTGTATAACTATAGTGAAAATAGCAAAATACTATGGTAGAAATAGATGACTTTTTTTTAATATCAAAATAACTATTTTAGAGTCTAGTATATTTTATTAAACCTTAGATTTAAATATTAGTACTGCTAAATATAAGCAGTATCTACCATATTTTCCTAACATGTATACCTGGGGTATATCCCTAGCCTATTTTAGTACCCAGGTACGTGTGTAGGGAGGATATACTGTATGAGTATTTCTATGTTTTTGATATGTTTTACTATTATATGCCCAGTATATAAGTATGATATTTCCATATTTATATACCCGGGTATAAATCAAAATTTGGCACTCTAAATTGCTACAGGGTATAGCCTACAGGGGTATACATGTTGGAAAAATATGGTAATCTTATTACAGTAATAAGAATACAATTAGTTATATATACAACTTTAATTATTATTTAATTAAGAGTTTAGCTATATCTATTTCTATCTATAGTTATCTACTAATTGTTATATTTAAGATTTGCTTATAGATTCTCTATTTAAACTTTCTAATCAGCTTAATACTATCAGTATATTTTTTTAGAACTATTGTTAAGATCTCTTAGAACTTTAAAATAGACTAACTTCTTTATAAAAAGGTTCTTTATTTTTATATTATTATGCGAACTCTTATGATTATGGCTATTTTTTGCCTTGATATTTTTATGTACAATATATTACACAAGCTGATATTTAACAAATATACAAATATTCAACTTATTAACAAATACAATTTATTAACAAATATACAAATATTCAATTTTAAGATTTGATAAATATAATATTATTTGCAGATTAAGCTAAGTATATAATTTATTGCAATTTTTTTTTTTTTACAATTTAATGTGAGCAATTATTTTTATTCATAGTAACCTGAAATTGAAAATGCAATTATGAAAAATGTTCTAGTGAGAAATTTTTCCAATGCTTCTTTATTCTTTTCTTGGTTTTGGCTCCCAATCTTTTCAAAAATTTGATTTAGCTTTTCAAATTTATTCAGCTTTCTTTTTACATATTCTGATTGAGTTTACTTAGTGCAATTCATGGAGATTCAGTTAGTGCATTTTGTGAAAATTCAGTTAGTGCATTTTGTAAAGATTTAGTTAGAGTATTTGGTAGAGATTCGGGTAAGTTATTTGCTAAAAATTCTTCAATTATAATAAATAATAAATAGTTGCTTGCCAAAGTAAAATCACTAAATGCTTTCATAGTTTTTTCAGCTTAATCAGATATTTCACTATCTTGATCTTGTAGTTCAGATAGTGAAGAATTTGCAATAAATATCAAAGTATTAAAAAACCTATTTAGTCCTTGTAGTTGCATTAGAGCAGTATTATTTATCACCTGATTATTTTTTATTAGAGGCTTACCCTTCTTCCCCCTCTTAATATAAAAAAAATCAGGTTCTTATATATAATTTTAACTTTTTTTACCTCCTCCTTCCTTAAAAAATTACCTGATTTTTGTCACGTCCCTTACAGACTTGGGTCATTTATATAACGCTAAGCCTTGTTGAATTTTATGGAGTATAATAGACATAATGACAGAATCAGAATACTCCAATTCTTTTAATATCTGGATTATAGTCTTTCAATTTGAATGATTTGAAATAATTTTATCACTAATAGTAATATTAGTAATTTTACAAATATAGCAAAAATAATCTTTTAAAGTATATTTAAGCAATGCATATATAAAAAACTATCATATACTAAATTTAGCTATAATAAATAAATTATTTTATTAATGAATTTAAAATAATACATATTAAATTAATTATATTCAAAATTTAAAAATAAAAAAAATCTATATAACTCTTTTTGCTAATTATCAAAACACAAATTTTCAGAAAAACAAATTAACTAAAAACTACAAAAATATACAAAAGTTTTTAGAAAACCAAATTCGAAGTTCTAAAAAAAGAGAAAGAGAATGACAAGAAATACTCAGTTTCTTAGAGACTTGAGTTAAAAGAAACAGAAGTGACAAAGAAGTAGTAAAATATCGTCAATATTTTTTTGCATTTTGCAAAAATTTGGTGAATCGGCCTTGACCCTGAATT